TACCTAAAATACTGGCAATACAAAAGAAGTCAGATCACAGTGAAAAATTCCCTTATTCCTCCATAATTAATATTACTAAACAAAATAAACGAGAGATACAATTTTTTTAAAAGTGCTGATTATCTAAACTTGTTTTTTTCTCCAGTTTTTTTTTTATCTGACACTGTGTACACAGCAGAATTGCTTTCAATTTGCATAAAATACCATAAGAAAAAGCTTAGTCATTTAACACCCTGAAGGCAGCATAGAACAGAAAGCCAACAGGGTTTTCACCAAGACAAAAAGCAAGGCAGATATATTTAATATTCTCCCTCATTTTTTCTGATGAGCAGCTCAGCAGTGTACAGTGCCTTTAAATGAAAGCTGTGCTGTAATATTTATTTTTTCTTTAAAATGTGTACACACTGATTTCATTCCATAGCCCAAATAATTTCCCACATCTCCAGTGCTGTCAGTATAGTTTATAAATCTAATAGTTGATTATGGAAAAGTCACAAACTTCCAGAAGTAACACAATCCTATTTCTTTCATGCCTCAGACTCTATAGGGAGAGTGGGACAAAAATTGCATGTGCACAGAAAAGACTTGTATATTCATGAGGAGCTATCATACATATTAAACAGGAGAGTGCTCCTCAGAGGCTGAAACAACACCCCAGGTGAGGGGAATTTAAAAACCAAGGATCCTGCCTGGTTTGCTTTACATTCTGCTAGGAAGAAATATAGAAAACAACAGAGTTTATTAAAGTATTTGGAGCACCTCTCCTGTTTTTCTCACATGCTCTGTTGGGTTTTGTAATTCAAAGTAATAGCTCTCATAGAAAACTAAAGAGCATAAAGAAGAAACTTTCCAAATTGCTTCTGAAGGAGTAACAATTTTAAAATAACTATGGTATTATGAGAATTAAACGTTCTTTAAGAGACCTATGAAGAATGCAGGAAAGCAATAAGCTACTATTGCATAACTTTAATTAACCTTACATTTTTTTTAATACCAAAAGGGTACTAAAGATGAGATTTTCAGAAATATTCTTTAGGCAACAACTGTTTTGTCATCTAAAACATTCTGGGTGTTACACTAGCATTTACATTTTCTTGGTAAAAACAGCTTTATTTCTGTAACAAACATACTTTTTCCATCTAATTCTAATAATTTATTTTGTGACTGCTTAGAGCAATGAACCTAACAACATAATTCACAGTATTTTAAGAAATACTGTCATAAAATACCACCAGATTGTCCCTAAAAAGTCATCACAGTCATCCTATGATGTAGTCAAGGTGCTGTTGCACAGCGCAGGACATTTTGTGATTGTGGCCTACTTGTCACTAAAATTGGAACTATATTTATCTGTCTGCTGAATCCCATGGGAAGAAGTGCTGGATGAGGGGTCTGGCAGGACTTCTTTAAGGAGAGACCTGTTCTGGAGGAAACTGAGCAGGGCACAAACAGACCCCTCAGGGGTGGTGCAGGGCACTTGAACCATGGCCAAGGTGGGCCTAAGGACAAAGGGACTGGAAGATGAAGGGCTGCACTCATTTGGCTACAGAAAAAGGTAAATTTGCCAGTCCTTAATCCCTTGGGGTAGGAGACTGTTCAGTGGCTGTGGCTGTACTTCTGCTGCAGTGTTGTTGCAAAGTATTTTACCCCACTCTCCTGATTCTGTTCCTGCCACCATTTTGCCTTTTTATAAATCAACAGATGCACTAAGCAATAATCCTGGGGAGGAAAACAGAAAAAGTGACTCCTGAAGAAATTGTTAGAAGCAATTCATGTTTATTTTCAGCTCAGCAGGGTAGCAGGTTCACTCCTTGGCAGCTATTTACGCAGCAACATAACACTAGGAGCCGTGCTCCAGTTTTCTCCAGGTACAAACATAAACCACAGAAGAATTTAGGCTAGAAAGGTCCTATGGACATCATCTGATCACTTGCAAAAATAGGCCAGCTTCAAACTTCAGGCTAGCTTTCAGCCTTGGTGCATGTCACCAGTGTCACAAAAGAGGGAAATAAACTCAGAGCTTGTGTGAGCTCACAGATTACAAGCTCACCTCTCCCTAGGACTTCAGAACAGCAGTGCTCAAGTACCTCTGAAAACGACTGAGAGACTCCAAGAAATCTCTCCTCCCCCTTCTCCTCACTTTGAAGACTGTCCGTCTCTAGGGGAGGGCTATGAATGTGAACATCACCAGACTGATCCTGAATGGAGCCAGGAGCAGCACTCAGACCTCCTGTGGAAGCTGCGTTCATTCCTTGCAGTGCAGCAGGTGGCACAGGAGCAAGGAGCACAGCACTTCTCAGAGAAACTTCACAGGAATCAGACCTTAGCACAGCTGTCCAAAGAATACTTCCTCAGACAAGGTCCACAGAGGTCACTGAGCAGATTTCTCACAGATCCATGGGGCAGGGACTTGACAGCTGGAAGCATGGATGGCACCATTCAGCAGAACAGCACGGTTCTGTACAGGGCTGGTGGACTCGACCCTGTGGGAGACAGAGCACACAAGCAGGGCAACACCACAGAGGGATACCCACTTTGGCAGGGGGAAGAACATCTCACATCTTTGGAGGGAAGAGACCAGCTGCAGTTAGACTTCATGAGCTGATGTCAGGGAGGATCCATCCTGGGACACTTGTGATGCCTGGAGCTCAATGTGAGACTGCAATTCACCAGTCTCACACTGGGCTCTCCATTTCCTATCACTACAGAGATAAATGTTCTGTTCCACGAGGGACTTTTTGCTGTTCTACTAAAGGCATTTGGGACAGAAAGTATAAAGTATCTCAGTTAAAGTATTCAGTTAAAATCATCTCTATGCATGTGTGAAAGGTGGAAGCCTCTGCTTCATTAAGGTTATCCAATCAAGGTCTCGTTCAGTGCAAAAGAGCATAATGAGGACAAAATTATGAAAGAGAAATCCACAGACACAAACATTCAAGAAATAACAGACAAAACTGCAAAGACCAAAAGTCTTCAACTACTAATTGATGGGCCATCAAAAGCCTCCAGGCACAGCTTTGGACAGGAGCACTCTGGGCTTTGTGACAGATAAGAAAGTTGGGATGAAAGTGGAGCAGGAGGATTTGAGTACATTCAAAGAGGGCCTCTGTAAATCTTGTTGAGGAACTTTTAGGGGACAAGGAGGAAAGAGAGGGGAGGAGGTGAAGCAAGGGATGGGTTTGAGCCTCTGGAAGCAGGTGATGATTGCAGGCACAATCACTGTGTCACAATCCTTTGCTTGCATGTATGCTGTCTCCAGTGGGACCTACAGACAGGAATGTAGCAGCTATGTCCATTAGCCTGGGACAGAGACTCCCAGGCCTACGTGCACCTCACTGGGCTCTGGCAGATGGGCAGGAGGAAGCCCTTAACTGCATGGCCCTTAGCCATGGCCACTCTGAACATCCCTTAGCAGCCGTGTTCATTGCTGGCTGACTTCTGTTGAATACCAGGAGACTTTTCATGGCAGAGGGGGAAAGAATCTAAAATTCAGGTGTTTTATCTAAGAGTACAAAGGAAACACCATACTCTCTTTTCATCACTCACTTCTGAGCTGTCTTCCCAGGCCCAGTCCCCATGGGTCTCCCTCTGTAAACCAATCCAGTGGGATTTGGTGTGTAGTACCTGGAAGAAGTCCTAGGAGGGATGGAAAGGCAGAGAGATCAGTAGACTCAGAGAAACCAGGTCAAGTCATGGGTTTTGAAGGGTAAAGAAAGAAGCACTGTGTGAGAGACAAAATTTTGGGTCTATTTTTGAATGTGAGCACCTATTCCCTTCCTTCCTACAGGGACCTGCTTTGTGAGACTTGGCATTTCAGAGTGCCAGGCAGCTTCCCCAGCTGTGGGTTCTGAGGGCTGAACTCATGACAAACAAAACTCAGCTGAGTCAGGCAGAAACAAACAAATCTCTCTTGCAAAGTATCTAAGGGAAAGCCTTGTCTTTGCCAATGCAAAGGAGGTGGCGGGTGGGTTCCAGGAGCCTTTTACACTCTCCCTTCCTCCCAGAGGGAAGGAGCTGCCAGAACTGTGCCTGGAACTTGCTCCCACTTTGTCCTGCCCTTGCCCCTGCAAAGGCAGCCACCGTTTCACTGGTATTGCTGGTCACCAGGAGATGAGCTCCCTGTGCCCAGCAGGATTCCTGGCTGAAATTCCAGCCCTTCTTCTCCTTGGAGAAGGAGTAACACCTGCCTCTGTAGGTCACCCACTGCTCAGGGCAGCATGGACATGGGCAGCCTGAAAAAGAATCATACATGTCTCTTCCCACTCAGAGTCATGCCCAGTTCCTTACAAACACTTTTCACAAAGGCGTTCTTTCAGAAAATTATTCTCCCCAGTTACAATGATGCCATCCCTGGAGCTCTTCTGAGACTGGGAAAGAATCAGAGTCTCTGAAGGAATCTGTGAAGGGCATCCATTATCCAAATGGAAATAGGCATGAGAGCAAGTCTTTTTTTAAAGATAAGAGGTCCACGTTCTTCTTGGACCAATGAGCAGATTTCAAGAGCTCTGCTGTGCTCCCTGACAAAGTTCTACAGACAAATGAAGTATTTTCAGTGAAGGAGATTTATTTACCCTTGGTAATAAAATGCCCTGTTATTCCCAGCAATGCCATTAAGAGGATCCCTTCTGCAAAGAATCACTGCAACAATCCAGCAGGTAGTAGATTGTTGCAGCCTGAATTGCTGCTAGTAAAGTCCAGGGTAAAGAAGCAAAAAGGGCCTTTGCATAATATCCACAGATGTTTAATTCAGCCACACAGGGTGAGATGTTCAGAGTCCCAGAGCACCCACATGTTGAGAGTCCAGGTTCCTCTCTGTCCCCAGAGGGCCAGGCTGACCCATGCTCTCAGGCAGTACCAGGATGATGGCCAACAGGGGAATAGGAGGGAGTGGCTCAGGAGCATAGGAACAGACATAGGAACAGGGGAGGGAGCCAGTGGGGTCTTAACAGCTTTTTGAGATGAGATTCTTGTGCCTCCTTAATTTTGGGGATGCTCCCCAGGACCTCCACAGTAGATGAAACAGAAGAACCTAACAAGAAGAAAAAGAACATAAATGTGAGAAAGGTAAGGTTTTCTTTAATGGGACCAGCTCTAAAAATACAATTCATGTCAAACTGCAGTGTCAGTTTACCTCAAGCCTGCACTCATGTCAGAGTCCCACAATGTCTGACAGGGATCTTTTTGATATTCCACACATTGATAATTTAACCTTTAATTACAAATTTGCTTATTTGAAGATGTGATGTTTCATGAGATTCTGATTTAGCAGAATCAACCACAGCTATGTGTTGGAAGTACAATACAAGAGCAAACTAACAGAATGTAGCAATTTCAACAAAGACATGAATCACAATACAAATGTGATTCTTACTGACAGAATTTATATGTTCACCATTGCAACACTGGCTAGCACCAGGAAGAAATATGTATCAGGCTAATCAAGCTATATATATGTATACACACTGCCCCATTGCTGGTCTGGTTAACTTAGAAAGACATTCACACTTTTTTATTAACTCATGAATAAAAATTCACACAGCCAGCTGATATAATCAGCTGATCCACTCAACTGATACAAATGTTAATCAAAAAAATTCAGTCACAGCATATTTCATCAGTACATTGCACTTTCCTTTGAGAGTTCCTCCCTTGAGACTTACCCCATTATAGGGGCTTATTGATCAGTCACAACTCAGCTTTCCATCTGAAGGGAAGTCCAAATACCATGAGTGTTTTGATACAGCACCAACAGAAGTTCTTAGATCACTCTGTTGGAGCTGCAAATCTGCAGCTTTAACCTACCTTCAACTGCCCATCCTGCCCAATCTCAAACAGCAGGACAGAAAGGAAAACTTTGCATACAAATGCACATCTCTAATTCAGATATGAAATCTGCTAGACTGCTTATTTACTAATGCATGTATCTTTTCCATTATTAACAGACTTTACCTTTACTCTTGATGTCCCTATTCCCCTCTGTTCTTTGTATTCACTGTTGCTTGGCACTTCTGTGTTTCGCATTCAGAGAGAAGTGCTCCTTTTTATCCATCACATGCTTTTAAGTGCTGCTTTTTTAAACTTTGCTTTACTTGGAATTTAGAAGTCCCAGCTGCCACAAAGCCTGGATGTGGATCTGGATTTCCCTGAGGGTCGATTGAGCTTTCCTCACAGCACTTTGGAATAATTTCTAATGACAGAGCATATTATTAGCAGAAAAGTAATATACATAAGGAATGATGTCATACATCAGCTTTTTGGAATACAAAATGGTTTAAGCAATGACAATAGCTCACAAAGAGGTCGATCTTTGGTGATTAAACTGCTGCTCTGATGGATGCTCCATAAATCATTGAGGGAAACTTGCTTTGAAGGGGAGTGAAGTCATCTAGCATTCTTCACATCCCATAAATAAGCAATTAGGCTTGACCAAGATGAAAAAGGTGAGAAATTAAATTTCCTTACTTAGCAAACAGGTAATTCTAGTGGGATAATTTACAGATTACATTTCTCTTTCACTGCAAGCACCATCAATGAAAGCAATGCAGGTGCGTTTCATCTGTATCAACATCCTTAATTATATCCATTTATTTATTTATATTAACAACACAGCAAAACAGAAGAGTTTGAGAACTGGGACAAGAAAATTGAGGGGTGTTACCTTAACTCCACAGGAGGAAGCTGAAATGTAACAGTAGAACAGGTGGTGCCTGTGTCCTATTCTCCATATGTGACTCTGCGGGGTGGCAAAGCAACCATTCTGCCTGAAACAGGGCAACTGCAAGATGAGAAATAATTATTGTGGTGACCCACACAGGAAACTTGAATTCTTCCACTCCAGAACAAAGCTCTACCATTTCAGACTTGTAGTGACAACCATGGCAACCTGTTCCTGACATGGTTGCACCAAACTCTGAGGTATTTCTAATATCACGTTCATGGAGCAAGAGAATATATTGAAAAAGTTCAATTTTTGGAATCCATTACTAAAATCATATGCTTGTACTGCCAGCCCTTTTCCGCAACAACAGTTTCACTGACCTCTCTACCAGTATCAGCCTTTCCAATCAACTCTTTGATTTGTGTAGAAAAAAAGTTGCTCACATTTGCTTAAGGCTAGGTCAGGACTTCAGACAGAAAACAGAAACTATAGTATCTTCAGAACAGAAGACTTCATGAATAATTAATTTTGTTAATTCTGAGAATTATTAAAATCTGAAAATATAATTCTATTAAAATTTGTGTGATTATTTTTACTTTATAGGCTACCAGGAACATACATGCTTAATTTTCAAACATATAAATATTTTCTACCCCTTTGTTTAAGTTCCTTTACCTTATTTTTCTTCTTATACTCCATTTGTTTTTAAGAACACAGAGAAGAACTGGTCAGGGCAGTAATCATGAGATGCTGGAGTTCCTGAAAAGAAGGGAAAAATACAAAAACAAAATCACAATCAAGCCTGATCTTTAAGAGAAAAGACTTAGGTCTGCTCAGGAGTCTGTGTTCATGGGAAAAATCCCATGGCAGAGAGTCCAGTAGAGAAGATGGGACTGGTTTTCAAGGATCTGCTCCACTGAACTCAACAATGGTCTGTCCTAAAAAAGCAGGATACAAAACAAAGGTGGCAGCAAATGTCTTCAAGAAGACAGGGAACTACAGGACTGTCAGCCTGACATGAGGAACTGACATTTTAAAATAAATCGTTACAATAAACCTTTGGCTACTGAAAGGAACTCCTTGGCCTTGGACAGGTTGCTCTGTCTTGTGCTGTGTGGCCTAATAAGGTCTGAAGGAGATTTTTCACATCCCAAGACCTCCTCCTCCCTCCCTCACTCCACTTTGTGTGGTGTGTGGTTTAAGGGGCTGGCAGGTCCACACCAGCTTCAGGGACAGTCCTGTAGGAGTGAGCTGCAGGATGCTGTTGACCCATTTTCATAGAATAATTCTGTGACTTTTGATATTTCAAACTCATCCAGACAGGGTAGTGATTCATGGGGCAAAACAAGCTAGTACAGTTCTTCCTAGAATCAATTGTGCACACAGCAGAAATCATACAAAGGATGAGCACTGACTGAACACAGAACTTTAGCCCTGTTTTACAAGTTTGTGGCTCGTTGTAGGCAGACTTTTGACGTAAACATCAGACTTTTCCCACTTGCCAGCAAGCTGGATCTAAATTCTGCCCCTACATTCCTGATTTCTTCCCTGTGCTGCTGCAACTGATTGTATATTTTATAAAAAAATTTAAATACAGAATGCAGGATTTAATTCAATAATATCAATAAAATGAATAATTCAGTGTAAGAGATTAAGTAACTACACTTATTAAACCTAACTCATCAAACTAAATGCTCTTCTCCAGCCTGGAGCTGAAGTACATTTATTCCAAAAATACACATTCAAAAAAAACCCTTTGATCACAGACAATTCAACTTGTATCTAGCTCATCTTTTTTTCCCACAAATTGTAAACCACAGTAAATCCACACTTTGAAAAGGTAACAGCAGCTCACAGAAAATGCTTTTTCTGAAGATATTCATTTAAACCAGGCAGGAAACATCAGCTTGTCTTGAAGACGGGCTGAAGTCAAGAGTTGAGAGCTGCAGCTCAGCTGTGGACATGCTATTGGTGTAAAGAAAAAAGCAACAATTGACCATGACCAGGCTCAGGCATAAATATCTAATTGCTCTCATTCTTGTTGCAATGATTCAGGTGGAAAGTTAAGAGATTTCTCCAGTGGCAACAGCTCTGCTATAGCCTTTCCACATCAAAATATTTTCTTCTTACCTATCCAAGCATCGTCCTTCACCTCCATGTACTGAATTTTGAAGAACTAATCATAGGAAGCTGATCAAATAAAAAAATATTTCTGCTAGGTCATATGGGAGTTGAGCACATCCACTTCATTACAGTCACCCAATCAAGGTCCATTTAAATGCATAAGAGCATAATAAGCTACAGAGACAGAAACCTCGTGCACATAAAATAACAGAGGGAGTATTTTCCACATAATATCAGAGGATGGATGTGAAATTCTGCATTGTTTTATTTCTGAAACTGTTGTACATGAAAAGATTAGCAAAATGAAAAATCAAAACAGGCAATTTGTCTTTCATCCCTTCATGATTTATTTTGGGTTTAACATCAGCATGAACAATTCCTCTCGATGATCCTCGTGGATCCCTTCCAACTCAGGGGCACTCTATGACTCCGTGATTCCATGAAGGAAAATGCCCCTTGCAGAAGTGGGGGGGGAGGCTGTTCAAAAAGAAGGCAAGAGGAAAACACTAACTCACCTCCTCCTTTTATCATAGATAGAAAGACCTGTTAAACCATCCAAAAATATGAGAGTAACATGAAACTTATGTGAAAAAAGTGGCCTTTTTATATGTCTTGGACAGTTGGGGGGGATGTGTGTGGATTATTGCTATTTCTTGATGGTGCAGCACCTGCTATAAATAAAACCACAAGCTGTAGGAGGTAGCACATAAACCAGTGCACTCTCACATTCTCATGACTAAACCAAAGCCCTCACCAAAAATACAATTCTGTGAATTCAGAAAAGCAAGAGTACTGCAGTACTTCTCTTCCATGTGGCTGAAGAAGAGTCCTTTGCAACATGCCCACTGTAGCACACAGATTTTGCAGTTCAAAGACTTTCAAAGTTCATATTGCTCATATGAAAATTCCAAGCATGGTGAGGCCAAATCATACCAGGAAAATTCAATATCTGTGCCTCTTGTCTGTTGTCACTTTTTTCACTCTCTGCCTGGTCTGGACAGGATTTCCTCATCCTTAGGAGATCCATTGGATCTTATTCAGTCTCTCACTGAAAAGGTGATCAGATGCCTGAAGAAGACAGGTAGGAGATAAGGCTTTATGTGCAATGAAAGGTAAGCTACATTTAAGAAGAACAGAGAAACAATCCACCAGAAACTAATTAAATTATGCAGATGGCCCGGTCATCTTTGAGAAAATTAAATATAATAATAAAAAGGCAACATTTTTGATGGGAACAAAATATTCAAATTAAACAACTAAAACACTAAAAACTGAAAATCCATGATTCTCCACAAACCAACTAAAAAATTTCCACCAAGTCCTCAGTGGGTTCACTAAGGAGAAATTGATGCATGAGTCTACACTGATCCTAAAATGGAGACTGCTATGTGGAAAAGATTTCTGTATAGGCTATTTTAAAAAGCAGGGAGAGCAGTTAAATTAGGGTAACTTCACGTGAACAATTACATGATGCCAGTATAAAATTTACTATAATTTAGATTCAGTTACTTCCAAACCAACATAAATTAACCAGGGGAAGACAAATCAGAGTAAGAATGCTTACATTCTTAGAATGAATAAGGCCAGTTTATTGAAGGGAAATGAAATCACATCTTATCATACAGCAGGAAAAGCCTTTCTGTGGGCAAATTCATAAGCAGGGTCTTGGCACAGATTTGCTTGCAGGGGAAACCAAAGTAGACCTTTTGTTGGAGGCTGTGAGGTGCTCAGCATCTGAATTCCCATGGATTGCCTTGATCAGAGCTTTCACAACAGAAATAAAATATGAGCATTTGTGTAAAGCAGAGCATTGCTTTCTGTGCTCTGAGAACAGTGCTGCATTTGTTACCTTTAGCTCTCTGTTTAACAAGGCTCCCTATGCATTATTTGTCAGGTCTGCAGCAGCACTGGGGATGCTTTCACAGCTCTGGGATTGTATTACCTGCCACACACCCACCTTTCACAGGCAAGACCTTTCTGAATATCCACTCTTCAGTGGGAGGTTTGAACCATTCAAATGCTTTTTTAAATGAAAAGTTTATTCACCAAAGATAACTGTGAATTTGACCTAATTTACCAGGCAGCTTTGAACCTGTTCTCAAGTGAGGGAGAGAGAAAAGGATGTTATTATTTTACCATTTGGAAAAGAAACTATCTCAATTCTCCAGGTCAGATTTAACCAACTGGTTTATGAAGATCCAAGTGGCAATTGGCCAACACTATGGGAAAAGTCAGAAAGCTGACTGCTTCCTCCTGAATGAACTTTGCAATGTCCCAGTGTATAGTGGTGACACATGTACTGTATGAACTCATATTACATTTATTTATGGAAGCAAACATCATTTCCTACAAAGCCTAAGTGACATAGAAAGAACAACTATTTCATTCATGTCATTTTACATTAAAAATAGAAAACTTCTTACCATTGTCTTTGGAAGAAGACCAACAAGTTTTGATGGAAACCAGAATGGAAAGAGTCATGCTAAGTGGGGGGATGCTGAGTGAACACTGAATCCACTCTTCACACAGAATGGTAAAATTATTCCTTTAATGTGTATTTAGTCTTTTTTCACAAGGACCTTTAATGCTCAAAGTGCCAAAATAGTAAGAGAAAAAAAACTCTAAGATACTGTCAACTTTAGAAATAGAAGTGAGAAAATTTGTTTCACAGACTGATTCTGCTTCTTTTTAAATGAAAGTAAAATAGCCACAACTTCCAGTGCATAATTTTTTATGATGTCTGTATGTCCATTAAAATCAATGATCAAAAAATTTCATATAAGCTTTGGAGTACTCACCTGACCTGCACAGAAAGCACATTCTCCATGAAGATGTATGACATTTGTATGACAGCTTCTTGCATCCACAGACATTAAGGGTTTTTGCTTGGTTTTGTTGTTGTTGGGCAGGGAGGCATGGGGATTGGTTTTTTGTGGGTTTGTGTGTTTGAATACAGTGTCCATGCTCCCAAGGGAAGCTAGAGTATAAAGCGCTGGAGAAATCCCAGAGAATTATTGAACACCATCCCAGCATGTTCCCCAGGACATCTCCTCTTTCAAATACCCAACTGATGCCAACAGATCCAACTGATCCCAAATGGTCCCATTTTCCTGGGATAGAAAAGATGGGGAAAAATTTCCAGAACCCTCATGGTGGGTTGACTGGCTGAATGGTAGGTACCCATCCAGCCACTCAGTAATTTCCTCTTCTTAACTGGACAGGGGAGAGAAAATATAACAAAAGGCCCCCAGGTCAAGATAAGGACAGTGAGAGATTGTTCACCAATTACTGCTATGGGCAAAAGAAACTCAACTTGAGAAAAATTAGTTTATTGCTAATCAAATTAGGAAGTATAATGAGAAATAAAACCAAGTTTTTCAGCACCTTCCTCCACCCTTCCCTTCTTCCCAGGCTCAGCTTCACTCCCAATTTCTCTACCTCTTCTCATCCAGCAGGGAGAATGGGGGTTGTGGTGAGTTCATCTCACATTGTCTCTGCTGCTCCTTCCTCCTCAGGGGGAGAACTCCTCACATGCTTTTCCTGCTCCAGTGTGGGCTCCCTCCAAAGAAAAGTAGGTCCTTCAAGAATTTCTCCAACATAAGTTCTTTGCAAGGGTTGTTTTAATGAAGTGCTCCAGCACGCATCCCTTTCCATGAGGTGCAGTCCTTCTCCAATGAGGGCTTCTCTCTCCACAGATTCTGCCAGGACAGTTCTGCTCCAGCACAGGCTTCCCTTGGAGTCACAGCCTCCAGACATCCCCCTGCTCTGGCATGGGCTCCTTTGGGGGCTGCAGGTGGATCTCTGCACCCTTCCTGCCCTCCAGGGACTGCACAGGCTCAGCCACCTCTCTGTGGGCTGCGCCCGGAATCTCAGGGGAATCCCAGCTCTGGAGCAACTCCTGCTCCTCCTTCTGCCCTTCCCTGGATGTTTGCAGAGCTGTTCCTCTCACATTCACACTCTTCTCTTTCACCTGCTGTTGTGCAGTATCTTTTACACTTTCTTAAATATGTAATCACAGAGGTGCTACCAGTGTTGCTGAAGGGCTCAGCCTTGACCAGCAGCAGGTCCATCGTGGAGCTGGGGGAAGCTTCTGGCATCTTCTCAGAGAAGTCACCTCTGCAGTCCACCCCATCACCAAAACCTTGCCACACAAACCTAACACTCCTTTAACTCAAGTTTCTCATTACATTTGCTACAGCTTCCTGAACACACTTTACTCCCAAATGACCACTGGCAGAATGATACTAACAGGTTGATTTAACAATAATGATAACAGTTTCTTGTGTCTGGCATGGAGATTTTATAGATGTTTAGGGAATCCCTTAATAAAGGGATTCCAACATACGCACCTCGTTCTGAGCTTGCAAAATACTTAGAAAGGGAAAACTCTGAAACTTTTTTCTCTTTTACCAAAATATGAAAGGACCCTTCAGAGGATTGTGTATTCCCTCACCAGGCTGTGCACATCAACACCAGCAACATCAGCATAGAGTTCAGGCACCACTGGCTCAGGCACCTGCAGCACTGTGTGCCCATTGCTGGTCTTCATGGCTGTTTTCAGGGAGCACAAGAGCTGTGCTGGGGAAGGCCGGTCAGCTGCACTCCACTGCCAGCAGGACTTCATGATGCAGTACCTGTAAATCATGAAATGATGAAATTATGCCTTCATGCAAAGAAATGTACCTTAGGTCTTCCCTTTGGATACTTTGTTCACTTCAGAGTATATCCTATCACTTAGAAGAGAAAAATTATTCCCCAGCAGTGCTGTACCTTGCAAGAAAACACCGGAGCAGCAAATGGCAAGGGCACTTAAGCAAACAGAAACAAGTGTCATTTTCAACAGAAGGGAATGGAAACAAGTGTCATTTTCAAGAGGAGGACAGAAAGGTTTTGGCCACAGAGGTTTTATGCAGCAGAACTCAGTAAGGAGATGTGGCAGACACAAATCTCCTCAGCTAACAGATTATTCTCAGTATAGTCTAGACTCAGAAATCTTGTGTAAAATCTCATTTTCTATGTCTCATTTCCATTTAGCTCTGCCAACCTCATGTTCAATTGTCCATAAAGAGAGTGGCTTACATGGCTTGCTGGCAGCTCGAGGGCTGCTTCATAATGTTCTGTTTCTGCAGGTATGATAAGATGTCAGAAGGTGGCACCTCAGGATATGGTGGAGCACCTGGAAGGGCAAAAGGAGCAATAGTAGAAAACTCTATGGCAGTGGTTACAGAGAGCAGCTTCTGTGCAAGGTTGTCTTCCTTCCCTATCAAAATCTGGTTTTTTTTCTACACAATTCACAATAACAGAAGGTCTAAAAGGAATTGACGTGACTTTGCAAATTGGAAAAAAAGAGGGTGCTTATTTAAATGGCCCAACTTTACATTCTAAAATTAGAGATTTTGGGTCTTGTTAATTTGCTGCTTCTTTATGTATTTTTTTTATTAGCATTAAATCTTCTTACCTAATGTAATCATTTCATACAGTAGAATTCCAAAAGACCATCTGCAAGAAAAGAAAACAAAGTGATGTTTTTTGCTGGCTTAAATACATTAAAACTAGGCATGGCCTGCAGACAGGAGAAAGAATGAGCTGTAAAAGTGGAGTGTTATGCTGAAACTAGATCTGCCTTCCTGTGAATTTCAGGACATGAAATGATACATAAAGGAGTAAAAGAGACAGGTGAACTTCTAGTCCCAAAATGAAGCCATACATGTCTGCCTTGATGGTAGGGGATTTGCTCAGGAGCCTCTCTGGTGCCTGCCACTTGACGGGCACTTTCCGTGTGACTGAGCTGGCACCATGTGCGTGAGTTTCGTAGGCCAGGCCCAAACCACAGAGCTTGGCAGTGAAGTTGTGATGGAGAAGGACATTCCTGGCAGCAATGTCACCATGGAACAAGTTCTTTTCTTCGAGATAAGCCTGGGAAATTGGAAAAGAAAGAAAACAGGAAATTTAATTGATACAAATTTTCACTGAGTTTATGCTTGTCTTCAACACTGTGGAGTTACATGTGCTCACCAACATAAAGGAAGCATATTTTCACAAAGCCTTTATTCTCAGTGCTTAGGCCAAGAAGACTTAAGCCACCACACAAACTTGTGTTGCAATCAAGTAAGAACGAAAAAATGCAACCAACCTGAGCAGACTTACCAGAGCTGCTGCAACCTGCTGTCCAACCTCATATACCTGCTTCTCAGTGAGGTCATAGGGGACACCATCCATTGCCATTACATCCTAGATACAAAATAAGAGACATTGGTTCAAACAAATGCCACAGCAGTAGGATTGTGGGGAATGTTTCCTTCTAATCTATCTAATCTTATGCTCCTCCTTCTCACAATTGCTCATAAATTGACTGAAATGTAGGAGGACGTGGATGGGTGATGCTGAGGGTATGTTGAGTAAGACAAATATATTAGAGACACTAGTGGGCAAATTGACACATGGGGAAAAAATTAATGTTAGACAGAAATTGTCAGAATGACAGTGAAGAATGACAATCCACACAGATGAAAGATATATTATAAATTAGAATGATGATTAGAAAACTGCATTTCTAACACATTAATTGGGCACCTGGTATGAGACTAACTGTCTATCTCTCCTACCACCCTGCCTATAACAGTGAGAGATGAGCGAGAGAATAAGGTAAACACACAATGTTCTTCCTGTGCCATTTTACAGCCCACAGATACATTCTACTTAAAAACTTCCTTAGATGGTTATGGTTTCCACATGTTCAGTAACCTTTGAAAGGTTACCTTCCATAACTGACCTAATATGAACTGTCAGTATCCACACCAGTCAGTGGCAAGACATTCCATTAGTCAAATCCTCAGATCATGAAGAATCACCTCCATTTGTTTGTTTTGAACATGACATGTACTGGCTTTCTTTCCTACCACCTGGACCTTCTGCTGAACAGGACAGGAAGCAATCCCCTATTTAGAGTTTCAGATGTAGGAGAGTGATGGATTTAGACAGTAATAGCAGAGTTTTGTTTCTGTGCCTTTTGTAACAATGAGTCATAGAATCAGAATATGCTGAAGTGGAAGCAATCCACAAGGACCACTGAGTCCAACTCCTGACCCTGCACAGGACATCCCAACAACCCCACCCTGATCCCAACAGTGTTGTCCAAACACTCTTGGAGCTCAGACAGCCTTGGAGCTGTGACCATTCCCTGGAGCACCTCTTCAGTGCCCCAGCACGCTCTGTGGGAAGAATATCCTCCTGCTATCCAATCTAAACCTCCCCTGATATTTAGGCTCTTTTTTAGCTTGAGTTAACATTTTCACTGGACTCATACTATCAGACCTCATCCCACCAGATTTTACCACTCATCAGCAATGGGCAGACATGAAGCCATCATTCATATATAAGAAACTTCTTCCTGTGCATTATTTCATTTTTAACTATGCTGAATTTTATCTGTTCTTTTTATTGGCAAGTCTCTCAATCTTGGAAGATCCTTCTGCAATTCCTTTGGGTCTGCCCTCGGCTTTACTGGCTGGAATCATCAGCAAATATCCTCACGTCATTGTCATCCCATTTTTAGGTTATTAATACACGGAATGAACAGCACCATGTCCTAGATAGCTGACCTCCCTTCAGTGCAAGTGCCAACCTTTCATTCTTATATTCTATTTCCTGTCTTTACCAATTAGTTATCATCCCATGACCTTCCCCTGCGTTGTAACTGCTCTGCTTTCTTAAAAGCATTTGGAGTGAGACATGATTCAGATGGCTTTATGAATTCATTCTAATTCCAGTGCCTGTAATGCCCTTCAATGATCTGCCAAGTTGGACCTGTGTAGAACTTCTTTGGAGCATGGAAATAATTTTGATTGATATAGAGGGATGCATGGAGAGATTAAAAGAAATTATAACTTATGGATAGATATGTACCTAAGGAATTTAAGAAGCTGTTCTATTATCATTTCTTTTGACTCACCTTCCGACATGTCCACAGAAATGTCAGCAGGTCACCAAGAGACACATCTTCCATGATCATATAAAGTGGGAGCTGGTCTACACAACATCCAAACAATTCAACCAAGTTCTCATGATGGCCAAGATTTTGATGGAATTTAATCCTTCCCAAGAAATCCTTTACTTTCTGGGGACTAGTTGGATCTGAGAGAACAAAAGAAAACAAATTGAAAACAAAACAACAACAAATGGAAGCAGCAAAGAACAGGTTGACAGCTAAAACCAACATGGTCAGCAATCTTTAATCCTACCAAGACATTCCTACAAGAACATCTTGGACTTTCTGTACTGAACATAGCTTGTTCTTGCCCAGTATTGATGGCAACGCTCTGCCCAGCACCATGTCTGGGATACAGAGACTGTACCAAAGTGGATGCTGACCACGGCCCATACCTTGCAAGGCTTTCAACACCACAGCCTTAGTCTTCCCAGAGCTCCCAGTTTCCAACTGTGCTCTGTAGATGCTCCCATAGGCACCAAGTTTTATCAGCTGCAAGCTGTGTGGTAAGAGTTTCTCTCGTGGTATCTCTAATTCTTTCAGAGTCAAGGATGCAGAATTTAGGAGGCTCTCCACAGAGCTCTCACTCAGCTGGATGTAGTGGTTCTCTGTTGAGCAGGGTTCCTGCTGATTCTTTCTTGTCACTGACAAAAGCAAACACATATGATGCATAAAAGCAGACAGATGAACTCTTGTAATAGATGCCAGTGCTCATCCTTCCATGCTCTTTAATTTTTGCTCCACAGTGTTTCAGAAATCAGGGCAAAAAAAGGGACTGTTATTTTATCCTACTTATCCTGGCCCTTGAAGAGGACAAAGAATTTATCTCCCACTCTATTTGATGAAAAGACAGAATCAGTCTAGAAATTTCTCCCAGAGTTAACTACATAACCTTTATGGATAAGACACATTTGGACTTCATTCCAAAGTGCTCAAGCAATGAACATTTTCTTTTATTACCAGTTCTCAATTGTTTCTCTTAATATAGGCACAAGTTCTGTTTCCCTCTACATACACAAAATTAGCTCAGAACTGTATTTTCATTTCCACACAGCCACATGTGTACCAAGAAACCTTTCCCTACCCCCTCACCAGTTCTACTTCACCCTGTTCTACTACCTACTACCCCCTCACCCTGTTCTACTTCATGTTATCTCCATAGGAAGAGGGTGACAGCAGCTCGAAATTAAATTTCTTAAATGGCAGTATAGAAAATGCATTAACTAGGTGTAATCTACACCAAAATTACTATCATTCATAATTACCCCCGTAAAACTCTCCTTGCAGCAGCCTCCAGGAACTGTTACATAAATACACTTTGCAGCTCTTGTGATGTTACCACAGCATGTTAAACAGCCCACATGGCATGATGCTTTAGATTTTCTCAGGTCCATCTATACTACAGCTTCCACCACTGCTGCTGCAAAATGAAGTAAATCAGTGTTCACAATTTTTCTAATGTTTACTGGATTGCTGAATGCCACTCAGGATCCTCATAAATGGTTTTGCCTAACAGCTCAAGTGATGGGGAAATGGAATTGGCTTCTGGCTGTATTGGCCATATTGTATTGGCCAATACTCTTTCCTCTGGTTGAAAAGCATTTTTTTACCTGGGGTTGTGGCTGGTGCTGATTGCTCCCGCTTTGCTCGCAGGCCGCGGCAGTGAAGCCAGAGGATCACAGTGAGCACAATGACAAAAACTCCCACCAGGAGAACTGGGACAACGATCACTTCTGTTTGATGTTCACGCACAACTGCCAGCAGAGAAAGAAAATGGAAAACCAAGGAGTTGCTACATGGTTATACAGAAACAGTGTGCTGTAGCAACAATCCATTTCAGTAACTTCCAACCTCAAAAGTGTGTGTTCCATCCTCTGGAACAGCTGAACACTGTTAGTGCTGCCACCTTATTTTTCAAAGGTGCTGAGTACCTAAACAGTATGAAATCACTAAGATTCCCACACCTAACATCACTTATTTAGATGCTTTAATATGCGGGCCAGGAATTGTAGCCATTTGAAGTCACATCCACCAGTGAAACAGAAACAGCACTGGCAGCAGGACAGCAGGGAGATGGGACGGGCTGGATATTGCTGTGTCATCATGTGCAACTACAGCTCCAGCTCCTTCCAGTAAAATTACAAAGAGCATTTCAAAGGAAACTAGGTGTGGTCACCTTTGGAATCTGACTGGAAGACATTGCAATTAGCAAGGCTTGTGAAGGTAACTATCTATCTTTCTCATGTCTCCAGATTTGGAGGTGGTTGAGACCATTTTTTCTGTTCCCAAAGATGGCAGAAAGTCATGAAATCAAAATTCCACAAAACCGGTCCTTTGGGACCTCATTCAAAGTAGTAATTCACTAAAATGGTTGAAATTATGTGAGATTAATCCAGCCACAGAGGCTTCATCTCCATAAACATTTCTTCCCTGAAACACAACACAGGGAAAGCTCCATCAAATCTTTCTGTGTGGGCTGGGATGCAGTGGAGGAGAAGAAAGGGCTTGGCACACTTTTTAGTGAACCTGGCCTTCCTGCAAGCATGTGAAATCCTATTAAAGGAATGTGTGAATCTTACCACATAGCTTGTCATTGCTATTGCACTCCAGCAGCATCCGTGAGAATCTTTTCACATCCCCTGCCATGTTCAGTTACAAGCAAGCAGGCCTCCAGCCCCCACTTTCTGCACAGACATAGAGAATAATAACAAAGTTTATTGGGAGAAAGGATGATGATAAATCAAGAAGTGAAGTGAATAGGGAGCTTTCTACCCCTTACAATCAGTGGCTGCACGGAGCAGCACTGGGATTTGAAGGCTTGCAGAATGACACAGGACATCCACTATCATATCCTATGGATGATGCACTGCATGACCAGAGAGAATTTAGGGTTAAGCTTGTTCTACAGTGCTCCACAAGCAAATGAGGACCCCCTAGTCCTGAAGGCTGGCATATGTACAAAAATCCATAGATATGAACCTAATTATATTTAAAGAACATCTAATACCTTCCTAGCTAACACATTTCTAAGATGCCAGAATGGCTCAGCATTTTATCTTCTGGTCTATTACAAGTGAACAGATCAGCAGCATGCAGAGAAAATGCCATTCCCGACTACAGTCCTTGCCACAACTCCTACCGTTGCTGTTCAAAGATAAGGAGAAAAAAGAGTTGTCATTAGGGCTCTCTGGTACCAACTCCTGAGCACTGCCAAGTCTGTAGGTATTCTGAAGCACAACAGCTGCATCTCTTCTGCATTTGTAGCTGAAAATCCACAGCCTGTACAAGCATCCACCTTGTTTAGTCACTGCTTCTTATAAACATTGCCAAAATGTAAGACTTAACAGCTTTGCAAACAGTATTATCTAGAACATTTTATAGGAATTGTAACTTCTATCCTGTAAGCGCCTACTGTGCTTTCAGATATGAGTTTTAGGCAATTAACCTCAATGGCAAATATAGGGCATTGAGTTTATGGAATTTAGTGATGAAATATTTAACAGTTTGTTCTCATGCTTAAAATTAATAAGTGAAATTATTTGTTACCAGTTGCACATCAGAGACAGCAGAGAGAGGCAAATGGAATATACCTGTGCTTTAAGGTATCACAAAAAGTCTGTTTCCTTTTTTTATTTAATTTCATTCTTAATGTGCTAGCAGATTTACCTGGTTCCAAGGTTGGCTATACCAGGAATCCAGTCAAAGGAGTAATAACACAGCAATAATACCACACACACACACACACACACACACAAATAAACAGGACCAGTCCTGGCTTCCTTCATTCTCAGATACACACAGACTTCAGGACCATTAGTCAGCAATCATATTGTATAAGTCATGAACAGTCCAAGCTCCATCTTAAAACTTGCCAATGGCTTTGCACAGGTGCTTACTAGAAATGCACACTGACATTTACACACCATGCATGCACAGGCACACAAAAGCACATACACCCCCATTGGTGCTTACAAAGAGTGCAGCAAAGATCCATGGAAAAAGCTCTGACACAGCAGCCATTTCTACACTGGTCCCTCTCTGTAAAAAAGATTCCTCCCTACTCTTTATGCACCTCCCAGCAGTGATGCCAGTGGGTGGCACTCATGTTTTCCAGCCACACTCAGGGCAGAACCGTGGGATCCCGGAATGAAAACACTGGCAGTCACTGGCACTTTATTTGCCCTGGCACTCCCATGCGCTGCGGTTTCTTATGGAGGTGTAAGCACTGGAAAAGATTGATTACAGAAGCCCACTTACACTCTTTCTCTCTATCCTCTCACAATACTCAGCAAGCAGAAAAAGAAGTTTTGCTCACTATGGTAATTCTGAAGTGCCTTTCAGTGCTACTTTTCAGGCCAAGACTAAATAAATTCCTGTACTAGGCTGTTTCCACAGCTTACTTGTCTAGCAGTAACATCACTGCAGTTCTTACATTCCTATCCTCACAAGGAGAATGGTAACTCAGAAATCCACAGAACTCACATTATACATTTAATATTTTTTGCAATGGGAGATACACAAAAGTTATGTGGAACTAATGTGTTCATGTGCATACTCAACACAGAACAGGACTTATTTTATTAGATGAAGACATTTTTCCAGTACCAAGACAGGATAAAGGAAACAAAATATTTTAAAAGGTTCAAAATCTGCACCTCACTGGCATTCTGATTTTCCTTGCCTGTGGGTTAACACTGTACCAAGATCAGTGCTGTCTAGATCATGTGCACATATACACTGTGTTACTTCAATTTAGAATGTGCATTAGAGAATTTGTGCAATTTTAACTAAATGTCAGCTTGTTTATTCCACTGGATTTCTTAATATTCTTTTACACAGACTGAATTCCACTCACTGAAATTCACAGAATCATAGAGATTGGAAAAGATCATTAAAATCATCAAATCAAACAGCCCAGCACCACCACCATGTTCACCACTAAAACATGCCCTCATGTGGCACACCCACAGGCTTTTTGTACATTTCCAGGCATGGTGACTCCACCAACTTCACTGGGTAGCCTATCCCAATATTTAATGAATCTCAGCAAAGAAATTTTTCCTGATCTAATATAAACATCCTCTGACACAACTTGAGGCTGTTTCCTCTCGTCCTGTCCCTTGTTCCCTGGGAGCAGAGCCCAATCCCCCACAGCTGTCCCCTCCTGTCAGGGAGTTTTGCAGAGCCAGAAGGGTCCCCCTGAGCCTCCTTTTCTCCAGGCTGAGCCCCTCCAGCTCCCTCAGCCCCTCCTGGTGCTCCAGACCCTTCCCCAGTTCTGTTCCATTCTCTGGACACGCTCCAGCCCCTCAATGTCCATTTCTTGTCCTGAGGTTCCCAGAAGTGCCCCAGGATCTGAGGTGTGGCCCCAGCAGTGCCAGCCCAGGGGACAGTCACTGCCCTGGCCCTGCTGCCACACCATGGCTGGCACAGCCCAGGTGCCATTGGCCTCCTGCCTCCCTGGGCACACCTGGCTCCTGTCCAGCCGCTGTCCCCAGCACCCCCAGGGCCTTTCCCAGCTTTCCAGCCCCTCTGCCCCAGCCTGGAGCTGCAGAGGGTTGGTGTGACCCAAGGCAGGACCCATGACCTGGCCTTGTTGAACCTCACACAACTGGCCTAAGCCCATGGATCCAGCCTGTCCAGATCCCTCTGCAGAGCCTTCTGACCCTTCTGAACCCAAATCCTGATGTCAAAGCTAAATATACAATGAAGACCACAGTACCTAAAAATAGCAGAAGCAGCTGCTCTTAGACAATGGGAAATACAAGGCAAAACCTTAGCAGAAGTTGAACTACAGTCACCTGCACTTGCAAACTGCTCCTAGCAGGCTACTTGGTGCGCGCTACACGCGGCACAGCAGTTCCACAGCCTGGCAGCAGTGACAGGTTAATTAGCCCCCATCCTACACCAACACTGCCCCTCTGTGCACATTTGCCAACAGGATGAACATTTGGGGAAAAGGCAGCATTTTGTTTCCAGCTGTGTTTGCTTGCCAAGCTGTTTTGCTGCCCTGGCAATTTAGACAAAGCACAGAGGGCAACACAGCGACAGGAATAAGCAGCTAGAAGGTGGCAGGTGTGGGAGCTGCTTAAACCAGTTCAGGAAACCCAAATAGTTAATGTGAATGTAGCTGAGCTGAACTAAGTGTTCACCAATGCCAAAAGAAGGGATTATCTCCTGTCTTTGCTGTCTTTTTATTGCTTGTTTTGCTCTCAAATGTGCAATTGATCACATGGTAAATTGATTCAAACCACTAACCAAGCAGGAAAAATCCACTGCTCTTTTGCCATGGTGATTTCCTGCCATTTTAGTGGCAGGTATTAGTCAGGGGTGAATGGCTAATTCATCTAAAGCTGCAGTGTGAAACCACTCCCTGTGCCAGCACAGATCCACAAGCACTGTGTGCCAGCAGAAACCTTACCATGATTTTTCCAGTCCCGTGTCATTCATTCTCAGATGGATATTGTCCCCATAGCAATAGCAGAAGCATTCACATAATTGTAAAACCCTATAGTAATCAATCCTCTCTGACATTTTATGGCCCTGAAGTTCTCATTATGTTATTTAAAATGCCAGAACGAAGACTTAAGAAGCCTGAGTGACAAACTTTGTGGTGAAGACTGAAAAGAAATATCAAGACTTAAGACGCCCATGGAATATATGGGAACAGACAGCTTGAATACTGCCCACACAGAAGCTGCCTGCTGCTTGCTCCTGCCATGTTCAGGAGAGTTAAGTTGTCCATATTCACAGCAAATATACAGTTTTGCCCCTGAATATGTCTAATTTGTAAGCAGTTCCCATCATCAGTGCAAACATTCAAATCCTTGTGTAATGATTAGCTAAAGGTCTAAAGAAACAGCTGATTAATTAAATACAACAAAAACAAAGACTAAGATTCATCTAGATCTTTATTAGACCCTGTAAAAAATGCTATGAGCTGACATGGACTTAATGCAGTTATTTCTCCAGACATCCTGTCCCATGTTAACTGCATACCACTTTATTATAAAAATAATAATAATAATAATTGTTTTTTAATAATTGTTGTAAAAATAATAATTGTTTTTCATGCACTAGTTGGGAGGACCAGCTGTAATGTGACTACAGGCACATAAAGAACAGCTGAGTAATTCAGTAATTTTCGTCCAGCCCACTGCCTGACTGATAAAAGACAAATCCTTAAATGTTATGTCTTCTACTCAATTTCTTGCAGGGGCAAAACCTTGCTCTCCAGCTTTGACCATTACTATTTCACTGCTGCTTTTATTATTTCCTTCCTCTTTTATCTGACCTTTAAACATGGTCAACAGTCAAGGCTTTGGCAACTGCTCTGCACAAGCGCACTGTGCTGGCTGTGCAGCAGGAAGGGAGAGGAGCTACCAGGGAACTGCAGGAACCAAAACAGCAGGAAACCACAGGTGTGGGCAGTTGTGGACATTGAATGTCAGAGAAGAGGGAGGAATAAAGCACCACTGTAAAGCAAACAGTGAAAAAGAGAGGTTTTTTTTCCCTGCCATGTCCACCATTTACTAAAAGCAGCATCCAAAACAAATAAAAAATGAGCCCGACAGGTTTCAGCCATCCATTTGTTAGACTGCATATTCTGTCTCTTCTGCCAGCAGAAGACCTTATAGAGACTATTTCCAACA